AATGTTCTAGATAAAATGACCAAACATGTTGACACTCTGGAATGTTCAAGAAACTTAATGTTACTAATTATATACATAGTAAAACAATACACATCTCACAACACGTGACATACAGTTCTGAGGTGTCATATCTACGAAAGCCATGAAGGGACACGTTGATTTTTCAAAAAAGTAAAAATTAATTTGAGATCTCGAATTACACAGTCCGTTCCCACAGATTACTAGTTAGAAAATCTAACGTGTCTGGTACAAGCCCTCACCACATTTAAAAATGTCCAATACTTGCAATGTAGCGAATCGGAGCGGATCCCCTCCGAAACGATTTTAAAGAATATAAAATGATTTGCACTGGTTTCTATCCAAATAATCAAAACAAACCTTTTTGAGATTGCTTATGCCTTTTTCCCAAAAAATAATCCATATAAATACGAAAACCCAAATTTAAATTTTTCTAACGTTTTTTCTCGATTCAAATTACCTCCATGTTTACATTCGGAACTCTCTAGATTGTTCCTAAAATGCATATGCGAGTTATCGCCCGTGTTTTTTTCTGCCCCATTACGAATACACGGAACGAATTCTATCGTTAAAGGGTGTGGGACAATTCTTTTAACATAAACATTTATTAAAATTACCTATTTTTCCCCTCGATTTATAATTCAAATCCAAAAACACAATCCGTTCCCATGGATTATCAATTCGTTCTCACAGATTATCAATTGTTAACTCAAATAACACAATCCGTTATCTTGGATTGTTTTTTCTTCTTCAGTTTAAACAATTCGTTCCCTCGGAATGTAAACCCTTCACATATTTCATTGATATCAGCTATCTGTACATATCGGATATGGCAATACGTGTTTAATGAATAGAATATTGTAGGTGTTTAGATCCTACCTTTTAATCATTTACGGTCCAAAAAAGAAAATAACATGAACCTGACTCAAATCTATATTCTAGTACTGATATTTATATAAAAAAGTCCTGGGTCTTGTTTTACGTGTATATTAGAATAATTGAAAGTCCTATATATTAAAAGTAAATATGGCTCCTGTGTAATTGTTTTTTTTCTAAGACTGATGTTACAAATCCAGATCTCGAATTATTAATCCGTGGGATCGGATTGTGTAAATTGAGATCTCGAATTATAAATCGAGGCAATGAATTAGTAATCCGTGGGATGGATATTGTGTAATTCGAGATCTCGAATTATAAACCGAGGGAACGAATTAATAATCCGGGGGTTTTATTGGTAATTGAGATCTCGAATTATAAACCGGGGGAAGTTGATAATCCGTGGGAACATTGTGTAATTCAGATCTCAAATTAATTTTTACTTTTTTAAAAAATAACGTGTCCCTTCATGGCTTTCGTACATATCGGTATGCTGTTTTATTTATTGTGTACGAAGAAAAAGTGGCATATGATGCAAGACTGTAGAAATAGCGGTATGCCAGTTTGGCCAAGAAAGGGTTCCAGTTACTGAAGAAGGACCTGCTTTAGAACCGCTTGTCTTAATTTGAAAACCCACAGAGACGTGGCGTAAACAGAGAAAGCCGTAGACAAATCTGTCTGGAACCAAAAATTTTCCACAACTCATCTAACAACAGATGGTATTTGCATAGTCAATGATAGCTTAAAAAAATAAAATTCTTAAACCTTAGAGTATCAACCTACTTGTCAGTAGCCTATCGGCTTAGAAAATGATCACTGATTGTATCAAATCAGTTAAGGTGATAATGTTATATTGCTACATAAATAAGGAGAGTTGGTAGATATGTCTTAGTCATCTGATGTAAAGCTCTATCGCCATATAAACATAACAACGGGACTGTATACGCTCACTATGGGGCAGTATTTGAAGCCATGACCACCCTCAGTTCAAACCAAAAGTCTTGTGAGACTGAAGCTTTGGTTTGTATTTATAGAAAAGGGAAAGAGAAAAGTACTTAAGCATTTGGGAAAATTTAAACTTTTCAACAGCAATAAATAGAATAATGATCCTTGATTAAGTCTCTTTATGTTCTTAGTGCAGTCTACTTGCATGCCACATTTATATTGTAATCAGACTAAAATTGTATTTGGAGTAGCATTTTGAAAGAATTTCACAGAAATGTCTATTTTTAGTAACCACGGCTACACCGTTCATCAAAATCAAAAACCGATACACAGAATTATGTATCTTATTTAGTCTACTTGTGTGCCAAGTTATATTGAAATCAGACTAAAACTGTAGAAGGAGTAGCATTTTGAAAGAATTTCACAAAAATTTCTATTTTTAGTAACCACGGCAACACCGTTCATCGAAATCAAAAACCGATATACAGAATTATGTATCTTAGTGTAGTCTACTTGTGTGCCAAGTTATATTGAAATCAGAAAAAAACTGTAGAAGGAGTAGCATTTTGAAAGAATTTCACAGAAATTTCTATTTTTAGTAACCACGGCAACATCGTTCAACGAAACAAAAACCGATATACAGAATTGTGTATCTTATGTAGTTATTGTGTGAAGTTATATTGAAATAACTAAAACTGTAGGAGGAGTAGCATTTTGAAAAATTTCACAGACATTTCTATTTTAGTACCAGGAAAACCCCGTTCATCGAAATAAAAAACCATAAAAATTATGATTTTAGTGTAGCCTACTTGTGTGCCAAGTTATATTGAAATCAGACCCAAACTGTAGGAGGAGTAGCATTTTGAAAAATTGTTTACAGACAGACAGACGGACAGACAGACAGACGGACGGACGACGGACGCATTACTATCGCATAAGCTCTTCTGGTCTCTGACCAGTAGAGCTAAAAATTAGTAGGTAGAAGACCCAAAATTTGAATGTTTAACTGGCCTCCATGGACAACAAACGTGGTCAGACATTGACAGTGACTTCGATGCCATATTAAACTAATACACGTGTAAATGATGCGAAAGTATGGATGAGAAGCTGACGTGATATATGGAGATAAGAACTGTAATAAGAAGTAATAAGAAGTCCATGTATAAAACAAATGTTCAAAAACATCAGATGTGGTTTCAGGTCAAGAAACCTTAGGAATTTAAAATCCCCTCCTACCCGGGCACACTCGCCATGGGCTCCTTGTCATGATTGTGCAAACGAAAAATCCGTAGACAATTCAGTGGGTAAAAAAGACCTAATTATTATATGTAAATCGTACGTAGATTTCCATTTGATGATAATTATTTGCCGACAAGGTCATAGTTTTTACCATAAATTGAATTTTGTGACATTAAACAAGACTGTTATTTCCTTGTTTAATTAATTTGTTTGTAAAAGGTTCGTTTTAGAAATTGTTCTCACATAGAGCATGTTCTTGCATATCAAATCAACTGAGAGACATAAAGCCCACAGACAGGTGATAAAGGTATGAGTACTGTATACAGGGTTATTTTCCCCTTTTAATTTGGAAACAAGTTTACCCTGTTTCTAATTCGCCTAGAAAGATTTTTGTTAAAAATAATACTATTTACTTTAATTTGCCCCCTTAAATTTGCCCACTTCCGACGAGGGCGAAGGGGCAAAAATAAACTGGGGGCATTCCCTGTATAAATAATTGCTCATATATTTGTTCAAGCTCTTTCCATGCTTTCCAGTGTCTCATTTTCAAAGAAACAAAACTATGAAAATTACATTTAAATAACATTTTTACTGCAACAAGCATTCAAACATAAACAACTAAGTAACATGTCATCTTTTTGCATTCATTTAAGATTTACAAAAAATAAAACCTTCTTTTGTTTTAATTATTGAGATTTTACTAATACCAGTAATTAAGCATAGCTGCCCTGGATGTCCTGTTCTGTTTCCTCGTTTAGACTGTACACACATGCAGCATCACATATATCTGACACTGTATCATTCTGAATTGTCTCCAGTCTTTATCACACCCACGTGTCCATTCAGGAGATACCTGGATGTACAATTCTGATCTTACAAGCTTTGATCGTCCTTTATAAAGCAAGGCGACTTCTACTTAAAATCACTGGGTTTGAGCTTGCTCTCTTTCACCCAAGCAGGTGTGGGGATCTTTTTGTCTGCTATAGCTTTCCTGTATCTCTGTTGAGCTTCCAGCCATCGTTTGTTTTTAGCTACTTCCCCGACATCATCCAGAGATTTAGAAGAGGCTGCTTCAGATCCTAGGCCGGCTTTCTGATTCATTCGAAAACTCACACAGACCTAAAAATCAAAGAAAAATACTCCTGATAAAAATGTTTATATGAGAGGTGATCAAAAAGTTTCTGAAGTAACTGAATTGTATCAAGAAAAGAAATAAAATTAAATTTCCATGCATATTATTTTCTGAAAAAAGTCCCCTCTGGTTTTAATGCACATCAGCCACTGTTATACCTATGCATGAAACATGTGGTCTAGGTACGTGGTCATGTGACATGCTCTATAGGGTTCTGTTCACAGAACACACAACTTTTTCAAGACTGATACATGTATTTCTTGCCATGCAAGTTATATTTAAAACAAAAATAATCCATTTGTCACAAATGGTAAGTCTTGGCAATAGAATTGATATGACCATTACACCATAGCTTCTCTACACAGTGTATTATTATGTTATACTTACAGGATCCTGAATTCCAGTGTTGTCCTTTCCTAAACTCTCTCCTTCACTCCAACCCATCTTTTTAAGAAGTTTATGTCCAACATTGCCCTCTGTGATCGGTCTGTGTAATAAATAGGAGAAAAATAACACATCTGAAAACAACTATTGCCAGCAGTTGTTTTAGTGCAAGTTATACCACTGATGAAAAATTATATTACCAGGTCAAAACTAACAATACAAAACCTAATTTCAAATGAGAATCAAATCAACCAAGGATTAAGGGGGTTTTGGGGGTAAAAAGGCTGGGGGGGTAAGATAAGACTGTCTCTGAAGATTTATTCTATAATTTTCTAATTTGAACAAATCTATGACATCCAATCAAGGTTTACTTTTCAAATGGTTGGGTAAAGTGGGGTATTACAGTAACTGCTAGTTGTTATGGATGGAAAATACATAAAGTTAAGTGACAACTCCACAAAGAGAATTTTTACAAAAGTCACAAAAATCTTATCTCATGCATTCTAGTTAAAATTTCCTCTATTTTAACCCTAAATGAGTTGAGGACAACCTCACTACCCTGTGTTTGATTTACCTGTGAACAGATGCTGGGGCCTTATCCACCTAGTAAGGGTTATCACTGCCCTTTGATTTACCTGTGAACAGATGCTGGGGCCTCATCCACCTAGTAAGGGTTATCACTGCCCTTTGATTTACCTGTGAACAGATGCTGGGGCCTCATCCACCTAGTAAGGGTTATCACTGCCCTTTGATTTACCTGTGAACAGATGCTGGGGCCTCATCCACCTAGTAAGGGTTATCACTGCCCTTTGATTTACCTGTGAACAGATGCTGGGGCCTCATCCACCTAGTAAGGGTTATTACTGCCCTTTGATTTACCTGTGAACAGATGCTCGGGCCTCATCCACCTAGTAAGGGTTATCACTGCCCTTTGATTTACCTGTGAACAGATGCTGGGGCCTCATCCACCTAGTAAGGGTTATCACTGCCCTTTGATTTACCTGTGAACAGATGCTCGGGCCTCACCCACCTAGTAAGGGTTATCACTGCCCTTTGTTTTACCTGTAAACAGATGCTGGTGTTTTATCCACCTAGTAAGGGTTATCACTGCCCTTTGTTTTACCTGTAAATAGATGCTGGTGTTTTATCCACCTAGTAAGGGTTAACACTACCTGTTGTTTTACCTGTGAACAGATGCTGGTGCCTCATCCACTTGGTAAGGATTATCACTACCCTTTGTTTTTTCCCCTTTTCCCCGCCCCGTCCTATTTTGGATTTTTTTCCCTTTTTTTATTTTAG